AGCTAACTTGTGTTTCGCGCGCTCATATGGCCTTATGCAGTTGCAAGCGCCGTAAAACCCCTACTGAAAAAACAACCCTCTAGAGCAGTGGTTCTCAACCTTTTTCAATGCGCGACCCCCTTTTGATTGTTTGACAAGTGGAACGACCCCTCATACCCAAACCCCGAAATAAAGTAATAAACAAACCCTTTAATCCCCTCCCCCCCAAATGCGTACAATCCAGCAGCAGACAATTAATAAGACCTACGTAACATAGTTAATACAGACAAATAACTGTACCTTTGATGCTTCAAATCACTCTTATTTCAAGCAAATACACATCGGGAAAAAGGAGAGTTGGAGCTCATATGACCTTATGCAGTTGCGAGCGCCGTAAAACCTCTACTAAAACTAAAAACTAAAAAAAAGAGAGCACACAAACACACACACACACATACACACACGCTCGCATACATACACACGCACACTCACAGTGATAGAAAAATAAACTAGTGAGAGGGCTGTGCCTATGTCTTGAAATTCTCGGGGAAGTCTTAGATAAAGCAAGGCACATACCATCAGCAACATCTAGCTTGTTCCTTGCTTTTGTCTTGAGTTGGACAAGTGTAGAAAATCCACTTTCTCAAAGGTAAGTCGAGGCATATGGGCCAATGACTCGAAGTGCTGTTTTGCTGACCTGAGGGTATGATTCCTGGAGTGAACTCCAAAACAGTACTGTGCAAGAGATTTCTCAAGAAACGTGTCTCGTGCTGACGTCTTGAATGACATCTGCAATGACAGTGATGTCTAGCCCAGGAGCGAAAGGGTTTCCCACAAAAGCTTCTTCACCACAGTCAAGGTCAGGAAATAGTTCTTGAACGCATCTTCAAGTGATTTCAAATGTGCAGCAATTCCAACTTGAAGATCAGTAGACAAGGTCTCCTCTGGATTTAACAGCTCTGTGAAATGTTGGTAAACATAGCAATGTTTCCCTCTGTAACTTTCCGGTCCCAATTCGGAATTTTTAAAGAGAGCCACCCTGAACGTCTTTAAACTGTACAAAGTGTGTCTGTTGACCTTGAAGTTTCAAGTTGAGTTTGTTGAGGAAGTCAAACATATCAAACATAATACTATAGGCAAGTTTTTGGATCCACAAATCATTTGAGAAGAGCCTGTTGAGCTCATCTTTTCCTTGCACTTCAAGGAAGAACTTGATCCGATCTCCTCTCTCAGCTCGAAGACCCGACATGAAACGTTTCCTTTCGATAACCATCGAACTTGAGTGTAGATAAGCGGTGATTCATGATCTGCACTCATGTCAGAACAGAGTTCCTTGAACAGTCGTGTATTTAGGGGGCTGCATTTCACATACTTGACAACCTTAACAGTCGATTCCAACGTTTCCTTCGAAGAGCGATTGAGAGTCTTGCAAGCTAGTGCATATCTATGTGTTATGTAGTGAATGCCTTTTGCGTGTGGTGCTTTGTCCTTCACTTTATCCTAAAAGCCCGACTTAGATCCCTTCATGGTTGGTGCTCCATCAGTACAAATACCACACACATTCTTCCTCTCAAGACTCAAGACCCTCGTTAAAAAAAAGGATATCTTGTTAATGACATCATCAGCTGTTGTTGTGGTGTCCAGTGGGGTGCAAAATAAAAATTCTTCTTTTTTCATATTTTTCCAAACGCGTATCTCACAAAAACCAGTAACTGTGAGCACGGTGCCATCTTTATTGTGCCAAGCTTTATAACTGGTTCTTCTATTGAGGGTGGTTTCTTTTTTGCTGTTGCTCTCTCTCTCTCTCTCTC